CGGCCTCGCGCTGCGCCAGCCGCCGCCTGCGCCCCCTCAGCCGGGGTCGGGCGGGCGCTGGCGGCTCCGGTTCAGCTTGTGAGAGAAAGCACGCCTTTTAAGCCAAGTGCCGTCGTGCTCGGAGCGCTGAGGAGACGTGGCTGGGCCTTGGGGAGGGTCGTTGTACCCAGCGCAGTCCCCGTCCACCGCCGGCGCGGCGGGCGCGGAGCCCGGCTCTGGCCACGGCGCTGGGCGGCAGAGGGGGCGCCGGCCTCCCGACTGAGCGGGTCGCATAGCCTGCTGCTTCGTGGCAGGTACCTGCAAAACGGCTAAGCTAATGGCTCTGCAGGCAACAGATCTTGAGATAAGATGAGACTATTTAATACAAATTATTACTGCAGGGTAACTTGCAGTCGGGGTTAATATCAAAAAGGGAAGCTTTGAACAAGTGTGACGCACCGATGGATTTACGTAAATGATGGTAACATCACGGCCCAGTAGTGGCTTCCCATGTGCACGCGTTTCACATTCAGACATTTGCTCGCAGTGAGTTAAGTTGTGGGGAGCATCTGCTTAAAAGGAACCATTGGGTTTTCTGATGGTAATGTTCTTGCAAATTGTTTTTATTCTATTAAAGCGTGTCAAAACTTACGTTAAAATGAAACAAGAAACCCTACCGCTAATTAAAGAGATTTAATTCATGTAAAGCTAGAAACGAGGTTTTCTGTTCCTGATCTGATTTTCCAGCCTAGAGGTGTGCAAGTGTTGCTGCGCAGCGAAGACTATACTCTGTTTTGTAGAAATTGAGTACCTGGGGACTTTGGGGTGTCTACACTAATCTCAGGCTGCAAAATTCTGAGCCTCGGTGGGACCGATTAGTTCTGCTTCTCCCAAGCGTTGTCTCAAAACTTGGAATATGTCTGCTAATTTTATATAGAAATACTATTTTGCATTACTAAGTTTCTCTTGCTAGAAAAGTGAAAAAGAAATCTGTTAACATAAACACATGAAGATAGTGGAAAAAGATCCAGAAATAACCTGAACTAGACCATGTCTCAAACCTACTTGCGTCCTCTAAAGGAATTTAACTCTGTAACTCAGCTTGCTTCACTGAGGCTATTTCTACTTAACACAGATGTAAATGAAAGATCAAAGGCCTCATCATGCACAATCCCATGTTTTTCTGGCCTCACTCCCATTTTTGTCAAGAGAAAATATTTCAGTTATCCTTAGTGCCTTAAGGATAAGTAGTTTCCATGGTAATTAAGGTTTGGGGGATTTAGTTGAGAATATGTTAACCAAGGACTTTCTGTAACTTTATCTCACTAGCTGATTCAAATATCAGAGATTGCAAGGGCATCTCTAAAAGTCATTAGCAGAGATTTTCATCACTGCTGTTAGCAGAGCTAACAGGGAGTTCTAAGTTATATGTAGTTCAAGTTTGCCATGGTGGTTTTGTTAGGATCATTGCAAACTGATGTGCAGCGTAATTGCGTGAAGCTCACTGAATGCTTACGTGTGGAAAAAACACATTATCTTTCTCCCTCCCAGCAAGAGGGAAGGCAACCTCCTAATATTACTCAAAGACTTTTCTTCCAAGGACTCACAGGAACAAAATAATGATACACAATAACCCAAGAACTTCCTAGGGCAGGGGAGGGGCAATAAAAAGACACCAGAAACACATTGTGGACTTGGTAAAAAGATCACTAACAAGGTACAATTATAACTTCAATAGGAGGCCCAACTAATAAATGCATGCATAGTATTAGTTTAATTTCTTCATAGGGAAGGTTCCAGGTTCCTTTGCTTATTTTAGCTATGAACTCTGTTCTGTGTACAAATAACATTTTAATCAGGATACTCTTTTACAACTAATGTAGCTTTGCCAGGAAACCATCTTTTGGAAGAAGCTGGTTGGTTAAAAAAAAACCCAAACAAAAAAACAAACCAACAGCAATAACAACAACAACATCAAAAACGAAACAGAAAATACCACTAGCTTTGATTTGTGTAAACCAACAAGTAAGTCTCCAGTGGAGAGTGATGAATGAAGACATTTATTCCATGTCAGCACTAAGGAATTTTGGAGGAAACCTTTCTGTAAATTACCACTGACCCAGCTGCAGTAGTGGAAGCATAATTTTGAGTTGTATCAATAGAGCACTGGGGGTTTTTTTGCTGTTCTGTCATTTTAAGCAATTGAAAAATATTTTGTGATTAAGTTGAAAGGACAAAAATTCATCTAGGGAAGGAAATTTAAGTTAGAAAATATTTATGGAAGGAGATGAGAAAAGAAGGTAAGGTGCCTCTGGATTCAAGAATTTATTAGAAACAACTTTTAAAAAAAACGATGTAATAACCAACATTTTGCTATTTTCCTGTTTTGTTTTTCTTAATTTCATTACCTGAAGGTAGAGAGGACATACTGCTTGTCTTCAAGATTCATTATACTGAACAAAATGCCTCAGAAAATGCAGTGCTCCAAACCAAACAAACCATTGTCTATGTTGGAAGAGAGATACGCCCTACAGGCTTTCTTTCTTCCTGCAGAATACTGGTTTTAACCTGAAAAATAAAACAAAAAGCTGTTGTATACATTTTTTTAAATTGATTCATTTTGACTGTAGTTAAATTCCCTTGTTAATATGGCAAAGCAATTCCCTTTGGAATCAGTGTGCCAGAATTCTTTGTGGTTGTTAAAACAGATAACCACCAACTGATAATAGTAATTTGAAGATCACAAGATTCATGAGCACAGTTTCTATAAAGTAATGTCTCAGGTCTAAGGATTCTTGGTGTGTTAGTAGAGTAGAGGACAAGGGAGAAGTGGCTGATTTTCCTCTAGGACAAAATCCTCCAAGTTACACAGTTGGAAACAGTATTGTCATGGATCCAAAACTGGAGAGGAGAGGGGAAATACAAGGAACACGAGGTCACAACAAAACATGAGTAAGAAGTGAGGTGGCTCAAGGTTCCCTCAAGGGTTAGCTTGGCTGAGGTCCATATTTATGACCCTCAAAACCTTCTGCAGGATCCCGAGGCCCTCTGAACTTTCTGTTGGTGGTGAAGAATCTATCTAAACTGTTTGAAGTTAGTGCTATGTCCTGGTAGTCAAGCTAAGTCAGAGAGGGTCATAATTTTAAAGAGCACAAGACAACATGGAGCAGAAATACGAGTTGGGGCCTTGCAGAATGGTTGCATGCTGTTGCAGCAGGCATCCTTTGTTCAGCTGCCCGGCAAGGCTAACTGGCAGGACCAGACTGCTGAACTAAGACAACTATACTCTTCTTGTTCTTGCATTCAGAGCTAGTTCTCCCATCCCTTCCTGGTGCTGTGTGGATAATGAAGTTTTACCCCAAAGGTCTGGTTTTTGTTATGCCTGTAAGCACCTCAGCCTTGAGACTGCAGAGCAGTTAGAACAGCTTTGATCACATCTGAGCCTTATCAGGCCCCTCAAAATAGACGTTCTTCACACTCTTGCTTGCAGCCTCTCTCTGGTAGGGCATTCTCAGGGACCGTCTAACAGCACTGACTCTGTAGCAAAGTTAGCGATAGTAACTTTCCTTAACTGGTAGTTCAACAGTTAAGGTATTCACATTTGATACAAAACACAGGACTTTCCAGCCTCTGGAGATTGAGAAAAACATCTTTCTTTCAATGGAGCAATCAAACCACAAGCCTGCAGGTTTTTCAGAGGTGAGAACTTCTTCATTCTTCCAATGGAAGATGCATGCAGAATAAGATTCAGAAAATGCTGGACCAAATAGCTAGTGGCTGGGGCGCTGTCTTCCTGAAAGGAAGGACTATTGGATTCCTGGCCAGGTCTCAGTATTCTCCCTGTAGTTTGCTTTAAAAAGTTACACAGCAAAGCAGAAGCAAGCTGTAGAGAATGGATTGTAACCAGGTTCAGTCTCTGGGTGTGTGCCCTCATCACTGGGCTCAAGAGTCTGGTTCCTTTTACGCTCCTGGCCTGATGCTCTGTGAGGCTTTTTGCACAGTGAAGAAAGGGTGATGTGGTCTCACCAGGGTGGAATATTCAGAGTGGTGGGAGATGCTCCACGTGGCAGGGGAGTCTGTATTTGGGCCCACATCTCTCTAACTGAGGAAAGAGTTGAACATGGGCCCACCACAATATGCTGTCATATGAAAGATGGATATCTATACCATCACTTTTTGAGAGAAAGCATGCATTGTATTTTTTAGAGAGCCTAGGCCTGTGATGCTTGTTATGTGTTATTGTACCAAGCCATCTGGGATCTCTGCTGTAGAAAAGCCTCTTGTTCATCCAGCTAGGCATAAGCATGAAATAAATGCTAAACTGCTTAGCTCTTTCCAGACTGTTCCCAGCCTTGGGCATACCCAGAGCTGTTTCTCCAGGGGAGCATTACATGGGGGAACAAAGTAAAATTACAAGGTGCCTATGCAGGAACTGCGTGGGTAGTTTTCAAGATCATCTGTTCGGGACTTACAGGCTTGCATTCCTTAGTGGATCTTGCTTACAGTCTTTAATTTCAATATTTTCAGTCACCTAGGGCAATCTCTCTAATGGATAAAATGGGGATCATGCTCAATAAAGTTGGGTATTATTTAACATTTCAGGATGAACACTAGATCTCACTATGTGCTCCCAATGCCTGTCCTCATCCCGTAACTCAACACAAAAATTAATTATTTGCATATGCTTTTCGGGGTTACTCTTCTTTACAGTATCTGAGCTGTGTACAAACATTAAGATGCTTATTGGAAAGAAGGTATGATGTCCATTATACAGATGGGAAAATTAAACAAGTTTGTCAAAAGAAAATTACAA